TCAGATAGCGGTTCTCTTAATGACTAGCTCTGCTCTTCAGAATATAGAAAAAGGTGAACGACAAACATTTATTTGGGTTTATTTCAGAACTCTTCAAACCCCTGTGCAAGTCTTTTCCAGACACTCCAGTGTAATATATGATAGGCAAACTAGAGAGCGAATGCTTGTCTCTTTCTTATCTGTATTGTTAGACAACATAGCAAGTCACTGCTCTCGCTTCCTATAGTGTTGGAAGAGTCTTGCAGGGTGCCCAGGGAGTTGTCGGGGACGGGAGAGCTCATTGCAGCTCATTCTTATTCAGCTGAATAAGAAGGATTTACTACTTGGAGAAACAAATGTGCAGATTTAACAGCATTATTCAGATAATGGAGGATTTCAAGCATTTTTGACACTGCTGTAATAGGCTGATCACTAACGAGGATTAGTAAAAGTGGGATACAAATCATCCTTAATCTAGTTTAGGGCTTGTAGCAGCTTGTGGCAAAGCCAGTGTTTTTTTGGTTACCTCAAAGAGCAGTTTGAAATAAGCTGCTTCCTTTTACATATACCGTGAGTCCAAATTAAAGAAATGTGGTTCCTAGTTTGGGTGGAGTGAGATCAGCTAATAAACTAGAAATGTGCCCTTCATCGTGAGACAGTACTTCAGCTTCTGTGCTCTAGCAGGAGGGAACTCCTTCGCAGCTCACTGGAATAAGCACAGAATGACTCACGTATCGAGACTACGACCAAGAGGAAGAGTGAAGAATGGTTAGAAATGATGCCTTCAAAAAAAAAAAAAAAAATTCTGGAGTGTGTCAGAATTCTGGAGCCCATAATATCACTAATGAGTTTTGAAAACCTGGCCCATTCTTGATTAAATTGAAGATGCCACTAAGCAGCTTTCTGGTGATCCCAGCAGAAGTGAGTAACTATGGTTCTATAACAATACAGCACTCGGCAAGAGCAGAGGCTAGCGGTCTCCAGAGGGGTTCCTCTGAACAGGCTGATTTGATACTTGGGGAGGGGTCTCCACCGGTTAATAGAAACTGGTCAATGTATATGAAACATATTGTTAAAAATATTATTGTGCAAAGTGACACCAAAATCATAGAGGTTTCCCTGGTCCGGGCAAGTATTTTTAATCAGCTATTTGAGCTGCGACTTTAACAAATAGCTAAAAAATCGTGAGCTTGTTAAATTGTGAAAAAGCAACATGGTGTGGATTCGGTATCAAAACCGAAAGCTTTTTCGCTAGAACATATAAGATGCAATCATGTTTCTGACAAAGATAATCCTTCAAAGGATCCACAGCCTGAACTTCAAAGTGTTCGTCCAACCTCTCTGGCATCAATTATAGCGCGACTCGTCCACAAATAGTCCTAGTAGACTGAAAAATAAACTGGATGATGGTGGAGGTGATTTCTAAAGGCACCTCCCATCCACGTAGCTGATTACATCTAACAGCCTGCAATACCTTAGCGCAAAATATTATTCTCAGAGTTGTATGCAGAACAATCTTTCTTCAAGCTAGAATTTATCTTCAGCTCTCATGTACGATAGCAGTAGTGGTGATTCAGTCTGTGTTCTGTCGCCCCTAATCCTCTTGACTAATCAAAACCTCCTCCTTGGTGAAACTCAGCTGCAATAAAAGGTCATGGAAAAGCCTTCACCATAAGGTGGGTGTTTGTTGTCTGAACAGTACGGTCCCTCTTGGTCCAAACCCAAATTAGTTCAAACCCTTCTGATGCTCTCTTGTGTCAGTGTCTTTTCTTGACCTTGCTGTCTGAAATCCTTCAGCAGCAGATCGTTATAGAAACACGACCTTTCCTCCCTGCTCATATTTTGTGGTGTCATAAGGAAAGCTTACTGCCCTTCATCCCTACAGAAGCTGTAATCAATGGGGCAACAAGTGTGGTCTTTATGTAACTGTACAGTTATATAATTGAAGAAATTAGGCAAGTGTTCCTTAGTGCTTGTGTGTCATGAAATTAGGTGATGTCATGAAATTAGATCACTATGGAGATCTTCTGGCTGTGCAAACACGTGTGTAGTTCTATACTGTCTGCCGAGTGTTTGAGGCTAAAAGTGTCGCGCTCTGTCAGATCCCAAGCCTCAAAGTGCCTGGGCAAAAGAAGATGCGGCCAACTCCTAAAGGAGCCTGTAGGCACAGGCTTTTTGGGAAAAACAGTAAATGTACACCTTTAATGAAACTTACACTAAGTTCTTGTGCAGTGCTATGGAAAGCGGACTTTATTAATCCTGAAACATGCTTTCTGTTGTCCTCTTGGAGTACAGTAGCCATCCTCAAGGGACAGGAACAGCAGGTAACTCCGTTCAGGAATGGAACAGGTCTCTACTTATTTAGAGTGTGCAACACTTAGCTTGCCTTCTCTGAGGAGCACCTCCATATGTTGAAGCTATCCCTGCTAAGATACAGGATTCAAATTGGGATTCAAACAAGTACATGACAAAGGCCATAGAGAAGCATAACATGCAGCAGCCTGGGAAGAGGCTTAAAAGTCAGGAGTGAGGGGGAATGCAGGGTAGTAGATAAACTTGCTGAACACACTGGATAATGAGGAAGGAAGTGTGGCATGACTGAACAAGCCTCATTCATTAATATCGAAAGCGGGACAGGTGCTGGCTTGGTAGTCAAGATTAAGAGTTGATATTTAATCTCCTGACAGTCTGCAATCCTTTCAAGAGTGCTGCTATGGTCTGTAGACCATCAAATCTGCTCAAGTTTTTTTTGTATGAGCTTCTATATGAGCTACCACTGAGGATTCAGATTTGGAGGGAAAATTCCTCTCCTTTCCCAATACCAAGAGATCCTAAAATAAAGGAGTGTGGTGTTAGTTCTTAGACTCTTTTGGCAGTGTCTTTCTTTAATAAGAAGCTGGAGAGATTGCTTTCTAACTGCCTCAAGATAGTATCCTCCCACTGGGAGGAAAATGCATCTCCTCTTCAAGCTCAAAATCAAGCTGAGTGTGAAAACAAGGGGTTGTGCTTGCTACTGCTTTTGAAAGAAAGAAGGGAGAAAAATGGCAAAAAAAAAAAAAAAAGAAAAAGAAAATGATGCTGTTTTGGGGGTACAACTTCAGTTATGAACTTACTGGAATGGAAGCTTAAGGGAGAAGAGTTTGGGAAGCCTGGCAGTCTTCTAAAGATTAAGTTAGGAGTACAAACTCTCAGTGAGGAAAGAATATGGAAAGTGTAGTGAGATCAGCTTGTGTCTAAAGTCAGCGAAGAGCTTGTGACTTGTACAAGAAGGAAAACATACAGGAAGTACTCATCTGACCTAGTTTCCATGGATGAGTGCAAAAGCACAGTGCAAACAAGCAGGGACAAATCTAAAAATCCGGATTACCTCATGACGTGCTGCTAAACAAAAGGTTCAAGGGCAAAAAGAAATTACTCTAGAAATATGCCAGCAGAAACCTAAGAAAAAGTGTCATTTCCTCCCCCCCCCCCCCCCCCCAACCAAAGCAGACTGCTGAAATGTTTAACTTTTTTTTTAATCTTCTAACTGCAATGATTTCATAGAAGGGGTAACATTTTGGACTTGAATAGGCTAGAGGAAGCTAGCATATGTCTTCAAATAGATCAAGCCTTGTAAACATGTAATGGGCTGGTCAGTCACCTCGGAAACTAGTTGTTCTCCAAATATATGGAGGGTGGATAAAGTATTAAGAAGGGAAGAGAAAACTGAACAAACCTGATAACTTTATATCCTTTTCATTCTTTAAGGTAATAAATACAGCTATTTAAGTAATCAAGTTGACAACGAGAGAGCTCAGTGGCTTTGTTTGATAGATCATGCCAATGTTGGCTAACTTCTTCCTAGGATGAAAATGGATCTTACGTTCATTTTAAAACGACACCATGTTAATGCAAGCTAGGGAAATACTGTGGGCCTGGGTGCAAACTGGTAAAAGTGTATGTTCTTTTTAAGTGATAAAGTGAGATTTTTGTAATCCTGATAAATCCAGGATCAGAACCTGACTCAGGTTGGATGACAATACAGTATCTGCTAAACTTGCAGATTGGGCAGTGCTGGAAAGGAATGGCTGTGGCATTTTCAGGATAGAATGGAAGTCAATTCTGAAAAACTGGGACTGTTGTTGGATGAGGAAAGATGAAGCTCAGAAGAAACAACTGCAGGGTTGTGCTTTGAAATCTGAGAATGGGGAACTACTGATTAGATAATGGTAGTCCTGCAGCAATAAATCTGGTGTTAGTCATGCACCAAGCGTGTTGTACTGATGTGAACAATAACTGTATAAAGTGGCCAACACCTCTGCTTTACTTAGTATTGTCCTCTTTGGATATCCTGAACAGGTGTGAGCAGTGCGTTATGACAAACTGGTACAGTAGAACAGGAGTTCAGCCTCTTATTTCAGCAACTCAACTTCTGTACTAGTTAGTGTACTCCTTGAAGCTTAAATGGAGAAAGCTCAGGGCAGTATACTTCTGCATGGAGGGCTGACTTCTATCTCAGGACTTAATCTGAAAGCCCATACTTAAAAAAGGGAATCTGATTCTACTTCCAGTTAGATGCTGTGGTTTCAGATATGTGAACACTGTTTGAGGGGCACAAAAAGGCAGAGAAGCGAAAACCCCTTTCTCTCATCTTCCTTTCTCCCCCTTAGAAGTAATGAGGTAATTCACAGATGAAGACGTTGATATCTATTGAAGGCGTGAGCAGTCAGAACTTGAGCCAGAAGGCTCAGTCCTTAAACAACACAACCATGGGCTGTTACCAAGATGCAGCTGTCGTCTTCCAGGCTGCGCTTGCTTTGGGAAAGAAGCAGCTTAGAAGGTTGACAGTAAGACTGACTTTCCCAATACCAATTAGACTAATCAGAACTACTGTTTTGGGGAGGGGGAGGATGAAGTGAAGAAAGATAAGAAAAGGCAATCTGAGCAGAGAAAAAGAAAGTTGGTGTAACGTTCAGGAGCCCTTAGAAGACTCTCTGCACAGGCAACATGACTACTTTTAAGTAATCTCATCACTAATACAGCTTTTTCCTCCCCTCCTTAAAGCAAACTACAAATCTGAACCTTCCTCCTGAAGATCTCGATTCATCTGGTGATGACGATGATACTTTTTCAGGCTCAGGTGCAGGTGAGTTATTAGCACTTATAGTATTGAGGCTTGTACTTGAGTCTCTAGAGTGTGGCGCCCTGGATTTTAATGTGCATCCTGGTTAAAAGAAAAACAACACCCCTTCATGAATATGAGAACAAGGAACAGAGAGAGGCCCTAATCTATTCCTCTTGTACTGCTTCAGCTACTAACAGTCAGCAGAAAATGAGTTGTAGGAGATTTGAAATGGAGTGGAAACAGTTTCTGCTGCATGTTGCTACTAATATGAGAAATCACTTGCAGAATGTTATGAAACTACAGTGATTCTGCACTTGTGGGGCAGAGGAAGCCTAAGGACCTTTTGCCTCACTTAGGAGTTGGTAGGAGATACCATTTGAGGGTGTGTAAAACCACTAGCTGCCAATGTACATCCAGTGCGAGTTTTATCTGTCATCAGATGTGCAAGTTCCCAACGGCCATGTTTTTTTTTTTAAAGCGGAATAAAAATTTTTTTAGGGTGGAGAAAAAGTCTGTCAGAATGATTGCTAAACTGCATGAGAGACACTTTTGGCATGCAATATTGAATGTGAAACCCTGCAGTTTAGGAGATGTTACTGAGAATAGAGCAAGCTATTGAAAACAGAAACATGGTATCCTTCTGTTTGCCTCCAGCCACATGTTTGTATTGTAGATGAAATTCCCCAGGAATAAGACCATGAAATCAGTGCCAAAGGCACCAATGGCTAAAGGTGCTGAGATTACAGGTGACTGCTCTAAATCACATAACAAAAATCTGTGGGATGAGACTCAAATAACCATCCTTGACCAACCAGCGTACTGAATAGCAGATGTCCTTGTAGGCCTGTCTGCAGAGAGACTAGTGCTTGTGCCCTCGAGGAAAACAGATGACTACTGATGTAGTCTTCTAGACAAGGTCTGTCCCTACTTACTCCACTGAAAAGGATAAGGAATTGCAATGTGAACTATTATTCCTAAAATTGGCTTTGCAGGTTAGGCTTCCTCGCTTAGGCAAACGTCCTGAAGATACTATCGCGAGGTCTCTAAACTGGTTAAGCATAACATTTTGGTTTTCCAGGTCCTGTGACAGACCAGTCTCTCACCTGGAATATCCCAGCAGAACCAACTAATTCCTCATTACTGGCAATACCAATGGATTTCAATGAACAGCTGTTTCCTGGGATTGAGAGCCGAACTGAAAAGGAAGCAATATCTCCATCTGCAACTAGTAGTGTAGTGACAGAGGAGCCAGTTGTAGCTGTGAAGATTGAAATACCCAACCTGGACTCACCTGCTGAGAAACCAACAAATGACACGGTTATAACAACAATGAGAAGCCTCACTACTCACTTGCCGTTGGTGGTTCATGTAACTCCTTCAGAAGCCTCAAGCACAGTCCATGGCCTGGAACCTAATATCCCTGGCTCTGATGTGCTGGATACTAAAGATGTGCTTGAGCCCCACTCCCCCATCTATCATGAGGGAGACTTTACTGCTGCCCCCACAACGATGGCTCCTGAGGATGCAGTTCTTGTACATGAGGAGGTTCCGGAGGATGGCTCTGGAGATCCGGTGAGGACTAAGAGCTTTGACACCGTTTTCAGGGAGATAGCTGTAGCAGTGGGTAGTAAGTTGGACCTGCAGGAAGAGGTGGTAACTAGCCCAAACTAATGATCGGCTTAATATGTTACACTGGTGGAGGTTTTAGCTGAAAAAAACGCAAAACTGTGGAAAGTCTCCAGTAACAGACATGATGAGAAACATGAATAACTTGCTGTGTATGTCCCAACAGGGAGATTTCATCTTGATTAAAGATGAGGATTTGGTCCCCACCCAGAACTCTGAAGTGCCGGCTGACTCTGGAAGGGATGCCAAAGCAGCAGGAGCATCAGGAATAATGGACAGAAAAGAAGTTCTTGGAGGTACCTGATATTCTAGATTTCTGATCAATAAAGGCAGACCCTTGTAGGAGTCTTTCCAGGCAGCAGAAGCTGTGATTCTGCAAGTAGATCTCGGAGCATGAAGGCAAGACTTTTACATTAGGCCTCTGAAATGAGGGTGGTAATTCATAATTCTGTGTTGCTGAAGCAAATATTAATGGGCTAATAGCACAGTGGCCGCCTCTAGGCTATCTGGAATTTTACATTTAAACCTATTCTTTTACTCCACTCAAATTACTGTAAAACTGTTCTGATGCTGCCTGAGTCTAAAGAGCAGTAGAGCTGAACAACATAGCCTTGCTCCATTCATTGTGCTTTGCAGCATGGCTTAGGGGCGGATCTATTTCTGTAGGTTTGCCTCATGTAGATGAGTAGGCTCATGGTAATGGAAAGATGACAGGTCTTGGTTCGTGGGGCAGAAGGGCAAATTCATTTTTGAAAGTCCTGAAACTGGGACCGTGTTGTCAGGAATAACATAGAAACATAGAATCATAAAAGTGTTATCTGGCATGATATCTAGAGTAATTTGTGGCCTTTTCCCCTTTCTAGGTGTTATTGCTGGAGGACTAGTAGGCCTGGTGTTTGCAGTGTTTCTAGTTGCTTTTATGCTGTACAGAATGAAGAAAAAAGACGAAGGAAGCTATTCACTAGATGAACCTAAACAGTCTAATGGAGGATACCAAAAACCACACAAACAAGAAGAATTCTATGCATAAACACTGATCTTCAGGACACTTCTAATTCCATCTTTCTTAGACTCTTCTCACTGCACGTGGACCTCCTTGTGCGCTTTGCATTAAACTTAAGCCATATGATCATTGGGTATTGTCCTTACCACCTTGCCATTGGAAATTTTATAACTACAAAGTAGATCCGGATACACTGAACATTCCCTGCTTTCTTGCACAACTTTTTTGTTTTGTTTTTTTTTGTTTTTAAACAGAAGTGGGACTGCAAGCTCCTCAACTTGCTTTGGTTTATCTAAAGACTGATGGGGCAGGCCTTGGGAAGAAGATAAGGGAGCACTGTGTGTAAACCTCTTGATATTTAGGGAAAGGGCTGGCAAAAATAAACAATTAACAGTGCTCAAATTCCATATAGCAGGGATTCTTCCTATTTAACTCATAGCTGTGTTTTAAGTGTAACAAATCTCTGCTCTGGGCAGAAGTTTGGTACACTGCAATTCTCTAGCTCTTTCTAGCTGCCATATTTGGAGCACTTAATGGCTATGAAACATCAAGCCGAACATGATTTCCAGTGAAAGGAAGTGTGAGGGGCAGGGTAAGCAAATGACTGTCATGTGGTTTAAAATAACTTATATTTTGGAAAGATTGCATCACATTATCCCATACTCAAAACTAACTCCTAAACAGCTGATTCAGTTTTTCTGTTTTGTTTTGTCTTAGTACCTGCAAGACCCCAAAACTAAGTGGAGAATACATTTTACTAATAGCATTGGACTATCCTTCTGCCCTCTTGCTCCTTGTAGACTTAAATTTAAGAAATGGATTTTTTTTTCTAAACGGTCCCATCTCAAACATTCCCTCCTAGGTGCCAAATCTAGGCTTGGCTGTTGTGCTGTAAATCCTCTTATCCCGTGCTACTGTGTAGTCACCAGGTGACTGATGGTTTGTTCTAGCACCTACCTCTCTGTGCACTGTTTACAGTGGTTGCCTCAGAACGTGGTCTACCATCTAAACTACACAATACCTTGGCACAAAGGGATAAAGGGTAGAAAACAGCCTATCATGACTCTGCAGCTAGGGAGCAGGGAGGCATAACATCTGAGACAAGTTTGATGAAGTCTGAGCATAGACAGCCTTAAATATGTACAGCAGTTGGCATGCTTGACTCCTGTGTCTCCAGAACACCCCTCTTCCGAAGCTGTTCCTGTACTTCAGAGAGAAGCAGCTCTAGGGATCTCAGACTAGAAAGGGCTGAGAAGCACCTCCGGAGGAAAGTCTGGCTGCCTGAAGCTGTATTGTCAGATGCAAGGCACTGAAGCCTCACTGAGGGTCTAGAGTTCTCCAGAGTATCTCCAAATTGGTTAGAAGAGAAGTGTGATGTTCTGCACAAGCCTTACTTCTGCTCTGCCTTTGGTTAGCTTCTTGCAAGTTCAATTCCTCATCACTCTGAGTAGAAGGCTTGGGGGGCTGGAGGGGTGTTTACAACTGATATAAATATTTGTACCCTTGAGCCAGAGGGAATGATTGGAGAATATTGCAAGAGCTGGTACAAATGTTGCACACTAACACTAAAACTTAAATATCTGAGTAATTTAAATGAAATATAAAATGCTCTCAAGCTGCTACGCAGCTAAAATTGGTGCCTTCTCTACAAACCCAAGAGAAAAACACTCTTTGATTCAAAACTTCATGCTCAAGGAAAACTTGTGCATACATGTAGCTGGCTGTTTTTAAGTAAAACTGCAAAGTCCATTATGTTTTTTTTTTTAATACTGAATGAATTTTTATAGGTTAAATGCAACAACCAGATGGTGTTAATTTCAGCTGTAATTCTTTGCTTTGTAGAGGAATGTAGAGATGTTGTTTGATAGGTTTATCTATGAGAAGAAGATTCTTTTAAAGCACAGGAAGATAAAGTGGTAAACTTAAGTTGTACCTCACAACCTTGCTGGGGGGAAGAAAAAAACTGTATATTTTGGTAGTCTAAACTGACAGTTTGTGAAACAAACATGACATTCTGTGTTATTTAAGTGGTACAAATGAAATACGAATTCTAGCAGAAGATGCAACACTTGGTTATTTGTATGCCCTGTTAAGGTATACTGCAATAAATGGCATTTTGGCGAGAACGCGTCTGATTTGTGAGCACTTGCCCTGTATAATACTTCCCAAAATGTGGAAGTGGTTACTAAGACTGCACGAGTCTTCAAGGAGTTTGGATTCTAAGTAGGAAATGCGGAGTTTGCTGCTAAACGTAAGGAGGTTGAAAGGTGCGAGTGTGGCCTGCTGCACTCTTTCTCCTGCCCTGTGTGTCAGGATGGCAGGAGGCTGCTCTAGCCCGAGGCAGTGGTGTGGGACACAAACAGGCTGAAGAGGAGGCTTGGACTAAAGCCCTTTGTCAGAGTCCTGCGGTGCTTTGTGCTGGTTCTGATTTGTTGGGAGCGCTCTTCGCTTGTGCTGTTTGCAACCATCCTCAAAAGGACAGGAAAGGCTGTATGTCCCCCGCAGGGCTCCCTCGTGCTAAATCTGACTTCCGCATCAAGAAGTTTGGGAGCAGGCAGGGCTGGAGGATGGGCAGCACCAACTCGTTCTATGAAAATGTGCTTTCTAAAACAAAACACTCTTGGGAGATTGTACCTCGGTGGAAAGAGAAGAGGAAGGCCTGTCCTAAAAAATGTGCTGTAGAGCATCAATCACTCCCGGGCGCTACAACCTGTGCGAGGAAAAGAGGACACAAAGCAGAAGTTGGGAGTGACGTCCCTCACAAAATAGGGACGTCAAAGGCTCCCGTCTATCAGAGTGGCTTTTATTGCAGCCTATACAATTATTTTCATTTACAAGGCCGTAAAAAATATTTTATCTTTTTTTTTTTAACTGGCCACAGTTTTGGTTTCTAATATCTTCTTTCTTGCACTGAAGCTATCTGGAAACAAAATCCCAAGCCCCTTGCTGCACTGAATATTAAAGATGGATTTACCAGCGTGATCAGTGTGCTGCTCAGTTTTTCGTATATATACAAGGGTAACTTGAAAATGACGTCTGTAGCAAATGTCTCATTTTCTTTCTTCCTTGGCTCTATGCTATGTGTTTCCAATCAGAAAAAAAGTTTGGAGGAATCTTGGTAATAGGAGTATTTTGAGAGCAGGCAAAAGGATTTAGCAATTGAATTTAAAAGCCTTTGTTTCTGTAGCAGAACAAAGCTTGAAAGTGCTTTCTAAATGCATGGCAGCTTTGCCAGGCCCTTAAACTGAATAAGATGACTGTTGTGGAAGATCACAGTTGACTATACTGTGTAAGAGTGCAGTGCTAGGATGAGTTTCCTTCCTTGGGGATTCCTAAGATCTCTGTTTCTGCTTTCCTAGTGAGTGATAATGTGGGAAGTGAGCATGGCAGGAAGGGGGAAAAAAATGAATTATTGAGGATAAGGGGAAATTTCTATGCTAAAACCCTCACAAATGAAACCCATTGTTTAAGCATCAGAGGGCACTTGAGAGAAACCTCACTGTGTCATGAGACAATACTCTCTAGAAAAAAATACTCTACCTCTGTATTCTGACATTGGGCATCCTGGGTTTTCCAAGTCATGTTTCTGCGAACACGCTGCGCTTCCTGGCTTCCTTCTTCACCCATACTGGAGCAATTATCGCATTTGCTCTTGTTCACAAGTGAGGTGCAAAGAATGTGGGTGGCAGAAAATCTGACCCTTTCTTTGTGCTGGAAAATGAGCTGGAGGGTGTAAATGCATTGAATATCAAGGAAGGCAAACTATGAGAAAAGAAGGACTTTTCACAATTCTCACTTTGTCAAGTTCTATTAGGCACTGTAAAGAAAACCGAAGCAAATCTAAGGCTGTGTAGTCCTATAATTGAAACAGGGAACAAGAAACGAAAAGGGCAACTCTGTGGGTGTGCTAGGAAGAAAAAACTGTTTTAGATGTAGCCCGCAGTCTACATAAATGTCTTATCTGAGTTTTAATGAGAACTAGGATGTAAAATACATTGATAAAAACGCCTAGTAGAATGAAGGTGCAGAGTGAAATTTCCTCTGAGGTAGAAACAAAACTCCAAAAACTTCAAATATGCAAGAGATGAGAGATAGAGGGTCAAAAACAGAGAGTTATTTGGGACTTTGGGGTGGTGTTTAGCTCATGAAATTGGAACACTGACCAACAGCATTTTTAGTAATCTTGTCAGGTTACAGGACAGCAATTTTCCTGCAGAATACCAAATATAGGAAAGAGGAGAGAAGAGGTCTAGCCTTAACAGTATACTAGGTCTACTATAAAAAGCAAAAAAAAAAGAAAAAAAAAAGAAAAAAAAAAGATACAGTGGTCACACATGGAATAAAATGTAACATAGATTCACCAAAAGCAGATCATGCCAGACTAATCAGATCTCTTGTTTTTTGATAAAATAACAGTTTTCCAGTCAAAGGCATTCTAATCTAACTGGACTTCAGTAAAGCAATTTCTCTGTGGTGCACAGCAAATGAATAATCCAAAGGAAGAAGCTGGGCATTAGTGTAAGAGTTGTAAGGTGGGAGCAAACGGGCTAAGGAGGAGCCTGCAGCAGGCTGTGTAGGAAGAGGAGATAGCAGGGAAGAAAGCTGATCACACAACCCCTTCTTTGGGACTTCTCTTTAAATATTTTCATTAACCTGGCTGGCACAGAAGGAAGTACATGAAATTGCATTTGCTGCTGGGAATTTGGGAGGCCTCACGAATGCGGAATATTAGAGTAAAATATTAGAATGTTTGGACAAGTAACAAACATCAGCTTCAACAGGAAG